GATTTTCATTGATTCTTTCCATAGTGGATCTCTCCATGTTGCCTCTGTGCGTTCCCACAAGGAGAATTGGAGTATTTGATGTCACATGGCTACAAACTGACTCAAGCCAAAAATGGAGACTCTTTATTTTTGCAGTTAAGTCTCTAAGACTATCCTCTGCAAACTCAGCCATGTTAAATACAATGACATAAATAGCTTGACTTCTTAGAAACATATGGAAGTAGGCCTGATACTCTTTGTCTCCAGCAAAATCAAGAATCTTAAGTTTCAAGGAAGACCACTTCTGATTCAGGGCATTTTTCAACTTTTTGTGGTCTATTACTGCTTTTTCCAACTGTACTGCGGTAAAAGTACCTGGACCTACGTGGTCCTGGCTAGGTGTTGATATTGCAGATTCCAACCAAAAGTATTCTTGGTGTAGTGTGTGACAGAGAAGTACTAAAAAAGTCATGGCAAGTTTCTCGCTTGAAGAGAGAAGACATGCAAAAATGCATAGGAGAAAAATAATGCTTAACAAAAATTTTGCCCATTGATGCCACTCTGGTAGTGATTTTAGAATTCGAGGCACTGACTCCGCAAAGAAAAATACAGAGTAAAAGATGACCATCACGATAGAAACCTGATGTAGAATTTTTGAATAAAATACACCAACTGTTGTTGCTAAAATGAAGCCTACAAAAGTGTTTAAGATGAAACGACTAAAGAAGATGACTTCTATTGGTCTTTGGTTGTTCAATTTCAGTTGACCTGGTTGGGGACACTTTTGCTCCAAAGCAAACGATCGTGGGCCTCTTAGAAGTAAAAAAGCGACGTACCCAAGAACGATTACTGTCGCTACAAAGAGGACAACTTGAAAAATTGCAGTTTTAGATGGCTCGCCGTAACTGATTTCGCGGTGAAAACGAAGTAACCCAACAGAAAGAAATGTTCCGATTAGAATTCCACGAGGGTTGACCATAAAATAGCACAAGCCCGCCTTTAATCTCCAATCTTCTTTTGGAGAGAAAAAAAAAAACCAAGAGTCACAAACGTAAAGGAAAACAAAGATAAAAATAATACTTATGAGCAACACGCAGTGATTTTCTTTTGGAGGATCCGTAATTATTGTTGTTAGCATTAAAGAGATTATAATTCCTAACAGCGGCAGAGCGAGACCACTGTTGTTTTTTCGAAACCTAGATTGCTGGAAAATTACATTTCCAGCCCTTCCATAAAGCATTAATTGAATAAAAATGTCTAAAAAGAATCGGTTTACGTTTCCAAAAATAAGATCCTTCGTGTCAAAGTTCTTCCATTTCTCATCAACAAGACTTTGCTCAATTCCTGTTGTTCTTGGTTCCATTTCGTCGAAAGGCTTTCCACTGATAGCCCTGACCAGACTTGTTTTTCCAACTCCAGAGTCCCCTAGGACCAAACATTGTCCCTGAAAAACGAACTGTTGACACATTTTCTCAGTTTGATGAGGGTCGTGGTAGGGATCAAGTTTCAACCCTACTTTCTCAAGCAATTTTTCGTAGGTTCTCCTTCCTTCTGGTAACCGATGTTCAAGTCGCAATTTTTCCATTATATTGCTGTGCTTATCGAGAGTTTCAGTATCAGTGACCACAATGCGCTGAAAGTCGAGGCTCGTGTTGGGATCCATAGTTGAAACAAATGAATATTTCCTCTATCAAGTCTGGGTCGGAATCAGTGACTCATTAATTTCCCGACCTCGTTTCCAGGATCTCTCGTGTATGAAGAAATGTTATGAAATGCAGGACGGTAACGCAAGCAAAGAAGTTTATAACATAGCGCGTAAATTTGTCTAATCAAATTCAATTGCGTGAGCGTGCTTCATATTTCTATTGTGCACGCTCATGACGTCAGCAAACAAATCCCTCGAGAATTTTGTATTCAATCAGAAAAGAAAGTTAATTTACATGCATGAATTCACCTGTCAGTTTTTTGACCAGTCTAAGAGAAGATCGTTTACAGCGTAGCGAAATGAACAATTGGTTCATACGTCAGCTGTGCGTTCATCGAGATATGAAGCACTTGGGAAGTTTGGAGAGAACCCAAGAAGCTAGAGTTGCTCTCAGCTACGCCTCGAGCAACTCTTACGCATCTTTCGTGCTCTCCAAACTTCCCGCGTGCTTCATATCTCGATGAACGTACGCTGACTTATGAACCAATTGTTAATTGCATCATGACCATAATGAACTAACTAGAGACCTCTTCGCTGCTCGTTTCCATATCTTAATAAGAGTCAACTGGATAAACTTCCTGATTTTATATGTCTTCTCTAAGAACGATGGATATTTCATTAAGGAAAGTTCAGTTTACATACTGGATCTGCGGCCACCATCTTAGATTTGTAAGAGATAGCAAAACCTTGCTCAAGGAGTCTTTAAGGGGAGAGACTTAGGAAACAAGTTTGGAAACAAGGGCGCTGGTGGGAGCTCGTGAAAGAAGGCTGAGGGTCATTAACGCCATCTTAGATTCGCACGGAATGAGGAAGCCTACTGGAAAAATGATCCTCGGAACAAAGTTTGAAATAAGAAACAGGCATTGTGAAAAAAGGTTGAACACAGTTGAGTACACTCAACAAAACTGCAAATTACACTAGATAGCGCATATTTTCATTCAAGATTTTCGGCAACAAAATCATATCTCAGAATTGCAAATTTCGTTTGTGTGTTTTTAGATCAATTTCACCCATCAAAACGTTCAAATTTACCATAGTTAAATGTTTTCACAGGCAGATACGATGATAACTGAGTAGATATTCACATGAGGTACAATTTGGGAATAAGTGATTTAATTTATTTCGATAAATTGAATAAAACGGTTGCTACAGTAACTATTAAACAAATGGCTTATTCAGAATTTGCAATCCTATTCTGTGAAT